CAGTTTTCATGTGTACTTTGTAAGAAACTGCTCACATACTTAATAGAGCCTATCCTTCCATCTGTCCTTGTACTCTTCAAGGGACCATACCAGAACTTTACTTGAGTCTCTCTCTCTATACTAACACCTCTTTATCATTAAGTGACTTAAAAATAGAGCCACATGGAGGCAAAGGCAAGCAAATAGCTGTGAATTCGAGTCCAGCCAGGGCTACTTAGTAAAACCTTGTCTTAGAAAAAAAAAGTGGGCTGGAGAGATGGCTCAGTAGTTAACACTGGTGGCCTTTCAGAGGACCAGCATTCAGTGCCTAGCACCCATGTGGCAGCTCATAACCATCCATCACTCCAGTCTGAGGGGACAGGACACCCTCTGTGGAAACCAAGGACACACATAGTGCATACGCATACATGCAGGCAACACACAAACATAAAACAAAAATAAATAAACCTATGTTTTTAAGTAAGGAAGAATAAGACCCAGCAATCACATGTGTGCTATGTTTCCTGAGCTGGCCCACCAAAAATTAGAGATGACAATCAAATTAAAACATGGAATAGTAAAAGGGAAAGTCCACTTTCACTGCCATTGTGAGTGATTTCAGTTAATCTACCTAGAACTTTGGCTCGCGTGTATCTTGACTGAATTGCTTACTGTTTGCGTGTTGAAGTGCCTGGGCACAAGGACATGTGCAGATCTGAGTGCTTTGAGCCGAAATACAGACACATCAACAGTGAGCCATAAATAGAACTTGTCACCAGTATGAGCAGCAAGCACTGGGGTCCATCCCTCACAAATTATGGACATCTGTATTCCTAATTGGCATTCTTTCGGGCTGTGCCAGCCAAATGGCAGTGCCAGGAGAGCAATAGCATCAGAAAAGATGAGATGTCACGTTTAGGTGACAAGAAACATGGATGAGGCATAGGAATCCTATTGTATGGAATCTTGGTCCATATGGTTGTTATATCACTGGTGATTTTGGGTTTGAGGGACCTCCAAATGGCATGTTTTATCCAGACTGAAAGTGCTATTTTCAAAGCAGATGGGTTTATGATCTTAGAATAACAAGTGGCTTGATGGTTGTATGACCAGAAGAGTCAATGGTAGAGATGCATATAAATAGTTAACAAGGTAATGGTAAGAAATGTTGACCTTGATTTGTTTAGCTAAGATGTAAAGATTTTTGAAGGTCAAAGGTGTCCTTGTGTAGTGTTTTGGAGTCTAGCTGTGTCTGACCCTCTAACATTAAGCTGCTGTGGCCTGCAGTTTTGAAGAGTGAAGCAAACCAGGGGGAAAGCAAGAAGGGGGAGAGAACAGGAAATGGAGTGAGGTGTTTCAGGAAGTTGTCAGGGGTTGACTGATTGATTCCAGATGGAAAGGGTCAGCCTTCATGACCCAGGAAATACTCACTAGGGGAAAGGAGTTGGCTTGTGGAAGGGGAAGGCCTGGGAGTGAGATGATGTTGGAATGCACGTTCTACTTCCTTTAGTCTTAAAACATGTAGAAATCCTTACTCCTTGGAATAGAATAATATCGATGTTGTCATCATCCATCAGAGAACAGAGGAGGAAGTTAAACCCGAAGCCTTGACTGAACCAAATGGATCTTCCTGTCCATTATGTAGTTTATTCTTCTAGAAGTAGAGAGAAAGTGTGTAAAGGCCAGTGTTTAAGCACAGGTTTCTACTCACGTCTGATGTCATGTGGTGGAATTTGTGAATCAAACTCACTAATATTTGTAAATTTAACTTAATTGGCAAGCTTCCCTAGATACCTCACATCCTAAGATATTTTAATATGAAAAATAGAACTTGACACACACACACACACACACACACACACACTTGTGTGCATATGCGCATGCACACACATACACACATACATTTGGACATAATTTAAAATCTTGTAATAAATTTTGCAGACACTGAAATAATTCAGGTTAATTCCCTTGCTGTCACGAGAGGCCAGCACTAGCCAGCAAAAGATTAAAATTTATTTCCATTGTTAATAGAAAATAATGAAGAGCATGTGAACCACCAGGGTGTGTCATTTGGGAAATGTTCACTTGGAACTGAATCTCACTCCACCCCGAAATGACTATGAGGAAATCTGCTGGCAGGAGAAAACTCTGCATTTTGTGGCAGGAATGCACAATGGGTGTCGATGGACAGTGTGACAAGCTTGTGGAATGAATCAAGCGCTCCCTAAGTGACTGGTCCTCACAGTGGCGTCACCCTTTGATGGGGCTGGGGTTCCCCTTGCTGTTCTCAGGCTAGCTTGTTAAGGAGTAATGCCTGAAGCTCTCTCCCTTTCGTTTTTGTTTTGTGTTTGAAGATATATTTTGCACACATGGTGGCATGATGCCTGCCCCCAGCCCCATTCTACTGGTTTCAGAGGTAGCATCTACATAGGTAATGATCTTCAACTACTGTGATCCCTGATCCTGTGACAATGAGGTCTGTTTCTTCCTTTCACTGGTGCATGGTCTTGTACTCAGTGAAATCACTCTGCAAAGCACTCAAGCCTGGCACACTTTGCCAAGAGTGATGGATGTCTGCTTTGCGGTTGCCGCCACTGGGTATGAACTATCTAGAAGGACTTTTTCTCAGAGATATTCACATGCTAACACAGACACAATTGGAAACAGACCTAAGGTGAGACAGGCTACATCCCTGAATTGTGAGCAATTATATGGGTGATAATTTTCTGAATGACAACTGAACTTCCTTTAAGTTTGTTCTCTGAGTCCCCAGGGTCTGTCATGACTCCTGTGTGTAGTTGGAGCTCAGTGATTATCTGTTGAGTTGATTGACTAAAATTCATTGACATGCATGTAAAATTTTCATATAGGCCACATCAAACCCACAGAGTGAGGCAATATGAAGTGATTTGTGGAGGCATGGGTCCTGGGGATTCTTTTGAACCTATTAAATTTTAAGTCTTATAAAATGTTAAAAGATGTCGTCTAGTTGGCTCATAGCTCAGTCAGTAAAATGCTTGCCACGTAGGCACAAGGACCCGAGTTCAAAGCCCCATTTTTAAGAAGCTACATGTAATAGCATGTGCTTATAATCCCACAAATGGGAAGGTGGTGACAAGGAAGATCCCTAGGGCAGCTGTTGAGCCAGCCTAGTCTAATTGTTGAGCTCTAGACCAGAGAAAGACTGATAGGAGACAAGGTGACTATCACTTGAGACATGCCACCAAAGGCTGACCTCTAGACTACATATCCATTCACATACAAAGGAACACACACACACACACACACACACACACACACACACTACCTGAAATTCTCTTAGGGGCAAAAGAAAACCAAGGGAGAGATTATTGCTTGGGATTATACCTGACTGGGAAGCAATATGAAATCACTTTCTGAAGGAATAAAATATTCTATCTCATGAGAAGACAATGGATTTATGCAGGGAAGTTTTACCTTGACACTCTGAAACCTGTGGATGTCATAGTTTTTCCTAAAATAGGGAATGGGGAGATGACGATGGAATAGATGAGATGAGAACATTTGAACATGTTTTGAAGTTGAATGATGGGTTCTCAAATTTTACCATGCTGTTCTGTCATTTTATTTGCTTGAAATTATTCGCAATGAAAAGCGTTTTTAAGGAACATGGAATTATTTCATATTGAGATATAAGTGAGGTTAAGTTCCTCCTCTTTCATTTAGTAAGTTAGGAAGGTGTGGCAGAACAATTACAGGTAGGATATCAAGAGATTGCACTGGGGCCATAGGCAGAGAGAGTCATTCTGAAGCACGGCTCATTAGATTATTCAATGCCCTTCCCGGAAAGATTTATACATATTCATGAGCATGTATGTAATAAGTTCCTTTCTCCGAAGAGCCACAGAAAACCTGCTGTGTATAACTACATGAGTTGAGAAGTAGCATTCCATCTGGGACACTCTTCTTCCTGGGTCAAGTCCAAGGGTGGGTGTGGCCAGGCATGCTCTTTTCTGCCTCTCTGCTCAGCTCTGCCTTTGAATTTCCTTCACAATCTGACCAGCAGCAGATAGAATAGCATTAAATTCCATGGCATTTGTGCCTGGCTTGTAATATGTATTGGCTACCATTCCACAGTCTGGACACAAGACCTCTGAGAGCCGTGGAATGGCTATGCCTTTCAGCTGCTGTGATTGCTAATGCTAATGGCTCCCTTTCTAGAACCTTCTCCAGAGTTTAGACCATGGTAGAATTGCACTGGACAATGTCATCTGTCTTAGTAACTGGACAAAGGAGGAAGGAGTAAAGCAAATGGGACATGAAGCATCATAATTTGGCCAAATGCTTTACATGCAGCGTCTCATTTTATCTCATTCAGGCCTGCAAGACAGCATTATTTATGTTTCCTAGATAAGAAAAACTGAGATTTTTAAAAGGTTCAGTGATTTGTCCATGGGTTTACATTAGGAGAAGTGGCCTGGGATTTCCATTTAGTTTTCACTCCAAGTTCTTGCTCTTCATCACTCCACACCCACCCCTGCCCTTTGCTCCAGTTAGACACTAAACATCCTGTATCTCCCATACCACAGTTGGGGAACCTTATCTTCTTGCAGAATCTTCATCACTGTTTACTCATACACAGAGATACTGGAGACAACTGACCAGTGTTGCAATGACTACATCTGAGGTACAGGATCCTTATGTCCAAGCTCAGAGAAGTGAGCTTCCCCATGGAGGTTCTGTCTTAGTTCTTGCATCGCACTGTCTGCACCTGTGGCTTCGGCTGGAGGACAGTCCCGCTGGTGATGAGGTTTCTGGAACTAGCAGGCAGAAGGCTAATTTCCCTTGTCATGACATGGACAGAGTTTGAACTCAAAGAAATGAAAATGATAACCTGTGGGCCAAGGGCTGCTTCTTGTTATACTCCAAAATTCTGTCCTGTCTCCCACTTGCCTTCCAGAAGCATTCCAGGAGGGTTCCTGGTATACTGACAGCCTGGTGGGAAACTGACCAAGCTTTCCCCTTTTTTGCTTTAAATGCAGGTCGTGTTGTCAACAACAGTAAATGTGGACGGACATGTGCTGGCTGTTTCCGACAACATGTTTGTACATAACAACTCTAAGCATGGAAGAAGAGCTAGAAGGCTTGACCCATCAGAAGGTAGGGCTGGGAGCCAACACAGATAGAGTGTCCCGTACCTTATTTGTATTGTTTGTTTGCTTATAGACAAAGCCTCTAGCCCAGGCGAGTCTAGAACTCACCATCTAGCTGAGAAATGACCTTGAACTCCTGATCTTCTTACCTCCACCTCCCTAGTGCTGGGATTATGGGTGTCCACCATCAAACTCAGTATATACAGTCCTAGGGATCAAACATGGGACCTCTGGAATGCTAAGCAAGCACTCTACCACCTGAGCCATATCCCAGCCCCACGCAGCTGTAAACACTGGCTGCAGTCTGCCCCATCAGCTGACTGCAGTCCGCCCCACTCAGCTCACGGCCAGCACTCAGGTTCCTGCACCTCGTAGTCTCTTCTATTCCAATCTGTGTTTTTCTTTCAGCGAGGCTGGTATTTCAGGCAATCGCAGGCCTATGACATCTTAGTTAAACAGGAACAGTACAGTGCCAGACGTGTATGAATAAGTGTCAGATGTGCCCTTAAACAGATTGTGGGCAAAACAAAACAATGTGGAGAGTGAAACTGACACTAATTGATTTTTGTTTGCTTGGACAAGAAGAAATCACGGGCTGCTCTGGGTAGTTTTCCAAGTGCATTAAACTAATTAGAAATACTGCTAACTGTTAAATTTCAAGTTGTCCAAAAAATTAAAGTCTATCCATGAACAAACTGACAAATCTGAGTGAATTCCATCTCATTTGCTTCCCCCCCCCTTTTTTTTTGCCTCACCACAAACTTACTGGTGTTAGAAGACCTCGTGACATAGACAAGAGTCAAATCCAGCTGTGTCTTCAATGTTGATGCTTTACTATTTGTTGCCTACCAGCCCCCTTCCCAACTCAGCCCTTAAAATGTATCTTATATCATTTTAAATAGGAATTAATGAACTGAAAGAAAATGATTGAATCGGTAAAGAATTTGGAGTGGTGTTAATTCTCCCACAGTGGGCACTGAAAGGGAAGAAGAAAATCCCAGAGTTCAGAGCTCTGAGCCCTTCTTGAGTTGCTTTTGACTGATTGGATGTGATTGACTGGCCGTTCAAAGGGGGCTCATGTTTTTGGAGTCCTGCCAAAGTTCTCCACCACCTTTGACCCTGTCAACTTTGGAAATGGAGTGATGGATTGACTTTAGTTATGGCCAGAACACCGTATTGGGTTCCTGTCGGGATGCAAAGTCCAGGGGCCTTGAACATATGCAGGAAGGGAGGAAACGCCATTCCAAAGAGTTGGGAGAGTGACTAGAGGGTGTCTCTAGGTGGGGTTGAGCAAACCCTTCAACTGTGATAGATCCTGTTTCCTCCTTCTCTCCCCAGCATGTTAACAAGCCCTGTAAATCTTAACATTGGAGGGCCGAGGAGGTGGGGAGAGAAAAGGGATTTACACTTTTCTAGAGTGATCAATGTATAAAAATATGGGCAAAAACAACAGAGTTTTAAAAACAACCTTGCACAATTAGCTAAGTGTTTCAGTCTTTCATACATAATGGCCAACTCATTAAGCTTTAATGGCCTGGTTAAAACCAACATCCAATTAGGGAAGGATGGCCAATCAACACAGCTCAACCTGAACTTCTTGGAATGACCAACAGCTTTCCAGGACAGCACCTTTCCCAGACTCCAGCCATCCCCAGCAAAGGACACAGAGCTGATTTTGTTCTTTCTTGTCTTCCTAGCTACACCCTGCATCAAAGCCATCAGCCCAAGTGAAGGCTGGACCACAGGAGGAGCCATGGTCATCATCATTGGTGACAACTTTTTTGATGGTCTCCAAGTTGTGTTTGGTACCATGCTTGTATGGAGTGAGGTAGGTCAAAGACATTCATTTCCATGATTTCCTTTGGCTCCATAGTTCCTTGGGGCTGGGGAAAACTAGAAATTCCTAGAGCAGCATCCTCATGAACACCCATGAACACTGTGTGTGTACTATGAACAAGACATGCAGGACATCAAGACATGGAAGTCATAACATTTGGGGAATGAATTCCTTAAAATGATAAATATACATTGCAGTTTTATATAAGCTGCTGAAAAATAAAGTCTAAATATTGGCTCATGGAAGAGTGATGGAGAAAAAATTAAGGTATCTTTCCACCATTGAAAATTATGTTTTGGAAAAATGCTAATGATACCAGAGAAGAGCATGTTTATGCTATGATGCTGAGTGGGAAAATGTCAGAGTTAACAGTGAATATGTATAATCTAATTCTGTGACACACAGCCATTGAAATGTCTGGGCAACATACCAGATCTTAATATTGGTTGTCTCTGCATTATGTAATTTTAGATTTCTTTGTATAGTTCTGTAAATTCCTATTTTCCAAATTGGATATGTTTGATTTACAATTTATAATCAGTGAAACTAACTAAGCACATTACCAAGAGAGCAGTATGGGTGCTGAGTTGGGCTTGGCAATTGCTAACCTACTATGTAAGGCCATAAGCAGTGGCCTCTTGGGTGGTTTGTCTAGTGACTGTCTTTTCTTGCCTCTTCACTTCTCAGCTCATAACCCCTCATGCCATCAGAGTACAGACCCCTCCCCGGCACATCCCTGGAGTTGTGGAAGTGACCCTGTCTTATAAATCCAAACAGTTCTGCAAAGGAGCCCCAGGCAGGTTCATTTACACAGGTAAGAAAGAAAATAATTTCTAAGACAGCTGGTTCCTAGCCCATCTCTGCTCTACTTAACAGCATCTCTGTCATCAGCCCAGTTATTCTAGGTCTTTCTGGTACTACAGGAAGAATAGACTGACAGTCATCAAATGGGGACGTGCAGATTAAATTCTAAATTTGAACTTTACCCGGGAAGCTTCCTTATGATCTGATTGATGGCCATGGCAGCTCACTTGGGGAACACACCCTTAGAAACTAATCTCTTTACAGTCATGCTGGGGCAGCCTTTCATATGAGCAATCAGATAAACATAATCCAAGTTGTTAGCTGTGACTTCTCCTGACAGTGATTCAAGAAGGTTGCCCAGTAGAGTGGAGCAAAGTATTTTAAAACCTGACGAAAGTAAAATCCACCCAACTATCCAATTTTCACTGAATGTCCCCTTCAGATTGCCGAGTCCAAATAAATCAGTTGAATGACTGCTTTCTCTGGGTGAGGAGTACAGTGACACATGGGACACACTGGTCCTTCCCTGTCTGGAGCCTTAGGAACTTTTGGAGGAAACAGTTGATTGACTGCCCAGTGCAGATGGAGACTTTCTAAATTCAAAATACAAAAGGACCCATTGGAAGATGTGTGCATTTCAGGAAGAGAGCTTGGTGTGGGATGGTATCATTGGATTCAGGACACCCAACTTGTGATCAGGTTGGACAGCAAGTAATGGGAAAGAAAAGCTATTGCCATCGCGCCAAACAGGGGACAGTTCACTCTTTCATCTATGCCTTTTGTGGAATGCCATAACTCTAGCTATAATATACTGAAGTGAGGGAAGTAAAGTGCCTTTAGCCAAGGGAACATTCTAGGGCCCAAGGCAGATAGCAAAGACAATGAATGGTGTGATTTCAGTCAGATGGAAATAAAGGTAGGAGATTGAGGAGCCTCAGGTGTGTCAGCAGGAGACTACTCTGAAGAAGGGACATTGAGCTTAGAACAGTATCACAGGACGGGGCAACCCACAGAAACACACCCCCACCCTTACCTCTGCCCCTCTGTGTGATCCATTCATATTTCATTCCTATTACTCCATAGCCCCACAGAGCTGGCTGGTCACTGGTGTTTCCTGGTACTGTACCTGGAAGTCCATGACTCTGTTGGCATGATGGGGTATGCCTGGCAAAGAACACAACAAGATGATGAGTCAGAAATGAAAAAGAGCTCAGTGCCACTGGACAGGAGCAAGAATGCCAGGGTATTAGAATGAAGTCCCTGGGGGGTGGGGAGCAATGGGAAATGAGGAAGTCTGGCGGGCAGGCAGGCAGGATGTGGGGAATATGGAAGATATTGAGCTAAAGAGTAATCTAGACAAGAGTAGGAATGGCAGGGATGGGTGTGGCCTTGGATGGGAGGAATCTATTGCTTCACGATGGAAGGAAGCTGGAGAAGGCCCCTTGGGATTCCAACAAGGAAAGTTGAGAACTGTGAGGAGGAGCTGAGAAGGAGAAATTGGAAGAGGAGGAGCCTGAGGGTATGAACTGTTCCTAAGGGCTGGTGAAGAAGGCTCTAACTCCAGGACACTTAGCACATACTTGGCATCTCCAGTGTTTAGTTCAAGTTCCCCTGGGAGTAGATGATGGGTTTAGATTTGGAAGATGCAGGTGAGTATACTAACAAGTACTTTGCAGCCAGCCTTCAATTCTCTACTGAAGTTGGGAATGATCTCAGTTCTCATGGGACTGTAGACACTTAGAGCCAGATGGGATGTTGTGTGTGTGTGTGTGTGTGTGTGTGTGTGTGTGTGTGTGTGTTTGCACCTCTTTTGAAAACTGGGACTTTTACTCCAGGCTGCATTGAATTGCCAAAACCTACCTTGACTTTCAGAAAAATGATGTCAAATCTCTTAACCTCTGATTCTGTGTAGTCACTGAATAAATATATGTTCAAGATACAAAACCAGTAACATCAGGATACCTCAACATCCTCCATCCTTCCTGAAGAGAAGATAAATATCCCCATTCCCAATAATTAGGTTAAGTCTCAGAAGCAAAAGGGATTGTTGGAATATCTATCAGGGAGGGAATAATGGGGAAAATCTAGGAAGGCTTCCTAGCAGAGGGAAGGATGCAGAGGCATTTTTAAATAGTAGTTTTCCAGCTGAAGATGTATAGTTCTCGGAAACAAACACAGTGCCTAACAGAAGAGAAACCCATGAAACCATAGCCGCTGTGTGGTGTATGTCAGCAAAGATCTCTCCCAATTCACTACGTTGTGACTGTGCCCTGTATTGTTATTGGTTTGCTGACACATCACTAACATTGCCATCATTTGTTTATGCATTGAGAATGCACAATGGTTAACCTCATTCATAATGAGCACACACACCATGCTCAACACTGATACTTAGGACACACCAGACCTGCAGACTCTTACCTTCCAAGACACTAAGATATGAAGGTGAGCTGTGCATGTTGTAGAATCAGCATGTTGGGACCCACAGCTTGACTTGCCTGCTACAGACTTTTCTCTATCTAGTAAAGTAGGATATGTATGCCACAGGGCTGAGAAGAGGACACAGGAGACAGTGTGCTGGAGGGTAGGGTACCACAGTAAAAACTGTACAACTATCTCTCCAAGTGGTTCAGAAAAACAGGGTGGGCTTGCAGTATTTCCTGATTTTCTTGGTGCAGACACTCCACTGTGGTTCCAAGCTACTATTCGACACTGTAGGTTCCTGGAAATTCAATCACCTGCTCTTGCAAGCTGGAAAACTAGGGCATTGTAAATACTTGGGACGGAGTGTGGAGACAATGAACCGTATGTTAGATACATGCTCAGAATGTTCTCAATATTGCTTTTATTCTTCCATTGGTGTCATTGGGCCTCTGGCTTGAACAAGGAATGGCAAGTGTGATATCAGATTACTAATACCTGTGTGAGATGCTGGAACTAGATGTTAGAGCAATTGCTTTCTAAATGCTTTTGTTTGTTTGTTTTTGAAACAGGGTTTAACTGTATAGCCCAAAGTGGCCCTGAACTTGAGGTCTTCAGGCCTTAGCCTCCCAGGTGTTGAGATGAATTGAGTATTCTCAAACTTAAGTGTTGAGGAGAACTTAGAATAAGCCAAACAGGGCCTAGGACAGGAAGACTCTAGGGTGGGAAGGACAAGTATCATATTTGACTGACACTATGCACAAGACAGAGGACCTGAATGGATGGCAGTCTGGAGACAAGCTGAGGGGCTGGAGACTAAGTCACTCAGGAATATTCTCTCAGCTCATTGAATACTATCAGGAATACTGTGGTGATCAGGTTTGCCTTCACAAAGGTAATACTGGGGCTAGGGGCTGGATCAGTCAGCACAGTGCTTGCCATATAAACATGAGGACCTGACACCAAAACATAGAATACATGTTAAAAAAAATCTAGACATGGTAGTTTGAGAAATCAGACAAGAGGACACCTGGGGCTCATTGGCCAGCCAGTCCAGTCTAATTGGTAAGCTCCATATTTATCAAGAGACTTTGTCTCAAAAAGGAAGAAATTTAAGAAGATACTCAGTGTTGATCTCTGGCCTCCACACTGGCATACAGAGGGACAGACATGCACTCAAATATGTGAGCGTGTGTGAGTGTGTGTGTGTGTGTGTGTGTGTGCGCACACACACACACACACACACACACTCACACACACCGTGGTCTTTCTGGCTGTGGTTCAGAGCATGGCTTAGAAGACAGTGTGGACGCAGAGGGTCAAGTGGAGGCGAGTGTGGTGGTCCAGACTGGCAATGACAGCAGCTTGGACTACAGTGCTGGTGGTGGGGACAGGCAGAAGTGAGTGGAATTTAGGAAGTGGCATTGACGGAAGTTGATGATTGATAGTATGGGGTGATGGTTGGAGAGGGGAGGGATGGAAACGATGCTCAAGTTTCAAGTTTGAAAAATTGGGTGGGTAGAGTTAGAAAGTGATGTTTTGTAAGGTATAAAGTGCTAGGGGAGTTCAGAGGGAGGACAAAATACTTCCAGCTGGCTGAGAGGTGGGAAGATTTAATATTGTAAAGATGTCGATTAATGAATACATTTAGCACAATGCCAATCAAAATACCAACAGAATGTTTTGGGGGAAACTAAGCAAAGCATCTGGAAGGGAACTAAACTAGAACTTCAACGTTGAAAAACGAAAGGGCCTTGCCCCTCTAGACTTTAAAACTATTTTAAGGTTTAATAATTAAAAGAATATAGGATTGTGCAGGAGTGTATAGAGATGTCAAGGAGCAGAAGAGAAAAATCTAAAAATAAACTCTTTCTGCACATATCCAGTGTGTCAATACTTAAGTATCAGCATGCTGGGGAGCTTTCATATCAGTGTGGGAAAGACGTGATAGGTCAACATTGTCAAATGGAGATATTTTTGAATTAGCTCTTGTCCATTAAAATGTAGATATGGCAAAAGGTTATATATCTAAAACATAATTATTATCTTGAACCTTGTCCATATGGACCCTAAAAAGAAATCAATGAGTCAAAATTAAAAGAAGATGGCTTCCTATAGCTTCTGTGGCTGAGGATGGCCTTAAAAACAACACTAGGGAGCATCTTTAGTTCTAAAAACATGCTATCTTAGGTACAAGAAGATTCATCTATTTGCTGAGCAAAAAATTTATGCTTCCTATTGCCAACTGCCCTTCTATTGCATTGTGGATAAAGAAATAAGTATTAAACATTGTACATATTAAGAGACAAAGACAAAGACCAAGGGGGAAGGCAGCAAATATGTTCAGAAGTAATACATGGATGTGACTGGCATGGTTATGCACACGTGTAATCCCAGCTCTTGGAAGGTAAAGGCAGCAGGATTATGAGTTCAAAGTTATCCTTGGCTGCATCATGAGTTTGAGGCCAGCCTCAGCTACAGGAAGTTATAGGAAGCTTCATTATTAGGAAGGAGAAGCAAGGAATGAATGAATTTACATCTACTGATAATCATAGAAATGCAAAAAGAGCAAGAAGAGTGAGGAGGTAT